CCCATCTTATGCACAATTCTTATCGCTCTTTTTTGTAATATGTACAATGGTTGAAGTGAACTTTTGTAAGTGTTTCCCCAGTTTTCAACGCCATACTCCAAATATGGTAAAATCAATGAAGAATACAAAATGCAAAGTGCTTTCACGTCCAGCATATATCTAACTCTTGCCACTATCGATATATTTTTTCTATTTTATGCTGAACATATCTGATATGAGATTTCCAGGAGAATCTGTCATCAACCATGACACCCAGAAATTTGATTTCATATACTCGTTCGATGTTAGCACCCCCAATTTTCAATTGAAGTTCATTATGTGGTCTACGATTCCCAAATACCATATATTTAGTTATCTCCAAATTCAAAGATAGTAAGACAGTTGGTGGCAGTAATGCACCATCTTGCAGTTTGTCAACCACCACAAAACAAAAAGAACAAAAATACAAAGAAGACAGTGGGCCACAATACAGGAAATTTTACCATGTCACAATTTACAGCCCATATTGTGACACTACTACATTTTATGCTGTGGACCAGCATAGTTATTATACATTTTTGTGGGCTGACTATTAAATATTAAATTCTTAATATTAAATGCAGTGGCAGTAGTGCTGAAGTTAGCTGACTTATTGATCAGTGGGTAATTCACTAATCGTAATTAATTAATTGTTATAGTTGTAACGTACAGACATTCTCTGGTTCCAGTTTCTCATGTGAAGATGTGCTGCTATTGCCAAGCTCTTGACTGCCCCAATAACATCTCCTAAGTCTGTCCATCAGAATTGACAGCAGTGATCATATAATACTATCATATAATGTACCAGTTTACAACAGCAGAAATGTCACTGGGTGACACATCTTTGTAAAGTCTTTGATGAACAGAAAATCATACAACTTTATTGGTTTGCTGGAAATTAAATGAATTTTATCAAGATAATATAACAAATACATCACAATGAAATATTCAAGTGATCAAAATAAAACTTCCTGTCATTTTGACATCTCACTATGATTAAAGATTTGTGTGTTATATGGGCTAATAATAATAGGCTTAAGAAATGTAACATCTGGTACAGCAACAATGCAGTCTTGCATATCAAGATGATGAGATCATTAATTTTCATGATTATGAGAAGCAGGTTGTGAGGAGAGTGAATTAAATCATTAAGTTGTGATCTTGATAGTGGAGCCAACCTCGTCACTCTGTCACTACAATTTGCCTGAACTAATAAACCTCCTGTGCTATACTCAGAAGGCTTAACATTCTCCTGTCTTAACAATAATTTAACTTTGCCCATGCTTGGGGTACAGTGCCAGCCTCTTGAATCTAACTAGGGTAGAGTTTTGGATGTTCCACCAAAATTATTAAACTCTGGCAGTTGGCTTTAGTTATTCTAACCTGATTATTTGGGTTTGGGGATTTTAACCCTAAATGAAACATCTCTCTTACCTACTGGTTCTGAAACAAAAATTGGTTTTGAAAAATATAACAAAACAAACTTAAATGTTTCTCTATCTCTTTCTGTGTGTTTGCAAAAGATCATCATTGCCTATTGCCCTGCAAGGGCCAACTAACCGAGACAAGTCGGTTAACAAAAGGGAGAGAGAAAGCAATTTGAATTGCTTTAATAGCTGGTACAGTAATGAACATATTGACTGAGTATGGATTTCTGGATGTGCATTTTTACTGTTTGCATGCAAGCCTTCACAGAAGACTCAGAGGATATTGTTCAGATTAGTAGCCAGGGAAATTACAGTTGCAAAGTGTGTTGATGTTTGTATGCTCATTTGAGGCTGTTAAATGCTGATGCTCCAGTCCAAGTCCCATCACTGGCCATTCTGCTTATGCATTTATCCCATAACTTTGACTTTTAGAACAGAAGTTGTGTATTTGTAAATGCACACACTTTACATTGAAAGTTCTTCTGTTTGAGATATAGCACTCTGGAAACAATTACCAAGCCATAATGGTCATGTTCTTTCTTCCCACCACCAGCTCAACTGATCTCCACTGCTACACAAGGCTACCCTCAGACATGCTGACACACACTTACACATTTATTCTTTTTTTTAGGGTAGGTGCACTCGTCCTCTGCTGGGTTACAGACTGACCCCATCCTCTTTCTCATGCACACACACCTGACATCTGATTCCAGAGGGATGAATAATGACCCTTGAAGTCTTTCAGCAGGGACCACCCAGGATCAAAATAACCTGTTGTAAATACAGAACCAGTATAATACCATTCATTTGTCACGCTTCTACTGTATTTACACATGCTGCAGCATCTTGCAAGTGCGTATGTGCCAGAACAAGATAGTTGGACTAATTACTGTGGAAAACTTTAACAAAAAATGACACTCCCACCTCCTGTATTCAGTCATTTTTGCATGTGCTGTGTATGAGGCATCTTCATTTTCTTCTGAAGCGGCTGGCTTCAACAGAAACAAGGGTTAGCAGACAGAAGAATAGCTAGCCTCTAATCTCTCCGGAGAGTTTTTTTCCAGGGTGGAAACACAACCGCCAACACCGACCTGCCAGCCCCCAGCCCTAAACCATTGTTAAATGATTACCCACTAGGAAACTGAGCTCTGCAACAATGATGCATTAGTTGAATCAGGGAGTCCAGCCAAAAACATCTGCTCCTTTACCTGCTCCCTCCATCCATCCATCCATCCATCAATCCTTCATGACCTGCCATCACCCAAATCACACTCTCTACCCCTGTACCAGTCGGGTGTGATGGTACAGCCTCAAGCCTATCTCTACGGAATTTCCCTGTTGAAATTTATATCAGTGTCAGAGGCCTTAAATTTTATCTGCAGCGTGTGAAAAGCCAAAACTCCCCTCTCCCTGTAGTATTCAGTTTCCATTCCTTCCTCTCTTCTGTCTGTTGCCTTATTTAAATGTTTCTTTCTTTCACTATCTGATTGTCTGCTTCACATATGTCTTCTTATTTACTCTGTTTCCTTCACTTCAGTCACATGCCTCACATACTTCTCATTAAATTCACTTTCCTTTTGTTTTTTCACTTCACCTTTCCCTTCCTCCTTCACCACCTTTTTTCATTCTCCTTAACATTCCAGTGTAGGAACAGCCTGCTGAATGCCAGGCATGCCTTTGTAAGGTTAGAAGAGACAAAGATGGACTACATCACCTGGGAGAAAACT